CGTACAATCCTCTCTGAGGAAGGAGGAAAACACAAAATGTTAGGACGAGCTTTAGGGCCAAACAACTTCTAGGAGTTAGGGTTAGAAACCTTTCATATAAAAACACCATTATAAGTATAAAAACCAGTCTCTTTGACTGGTTTTTAGGTTGCTGCTCTGACCGGCATACTTCATTAAGGTGCAGCAGTTTGTTTCCTGGTACAGTGTTACTGTACCTGAAAGGTATGAAGGATAAATAAATGATGGAAGCTACTTTTGCCTAACAGAATAACGTGAAGACAGTTCAACGCAATTTCCTTTACTTCAGATACTTTAAAACTGCATTGTAGTGAATGTTAAAACCAAAATGTATTTTTAATTATAGTCTGATCTAGAGCAATAGTCACATTCTCTAGAGAGAAGAGGAAGTGCTGCTGACAATGAATACGACTAAATCTCTGCACATAGTGAAAACAATCCATTGATAAGGAGGAAAAAAAAATAGACTTACTGGAATTGTTTGTAGTGATTACATTCAGAAAATGTGAAGTCAATAAGGCCATCCATTAAAAAAAGTGGTTCCACATGTTTCATGTGCAAGTAAAACAGGTCACATTTTACCATCCAAGTCTTTCAGAGAAAGCATGTTCATGCAAGTATATCTGTATCTGATTCCACCCCCAGTGCTGCTAGTGTTTAGGAGGAGTCTTAACATAACCAAATTTAAGATTTATTTATCTCTTCAGCTTGTCTCCACATATTCCCTGTAGGTGTAGGTGTGTACAAGCAGTGAAATATCCAAAAACATGCAGGACACCAAAGTTACAAAGGACAAGCATTTTAGCTTTAACAGGATCCAATAATCAGTCCAAACGATAACATAGAACCCTTTATTATAATTAATTCCCAAAACAAGAGCCATAAATGATCCAAAATGGAAAACAGCAGATCCCTCCTCACCACAGTTCTTTTTAAATGTGTTCATATTCTTCTGTTGATGGTCTGGTGAATATCTGGCGCCATCTTCTGCCTGAGACCATTATTGGCCCTGCTGGCAGAGACGACCAATGTTGATCACTTGCATGTGGCCTCCATAGTTGTTAAATAGTCACAGTCTCTTTTGGCCTCTTGGATGAGATGCAGAGTAATTTTGGTAGACCAGTCACTCCTGGGAAGGTTCACCACTCTTCCATGTTTTCACTATTAGTGGATAATGGCTCTCTGTGGCTCACTGAAGACCCAACACCTTGGAAGTTACGGTAATCCTTTCCACACTGGTGTCAATGACTGTCTCTCATCTGTTCATAAATTTCTTTAAATCATGGACTAATGTGTTACTTTTTAAGATCTTTCAGCCTACTTCATTCAAGTAATTTCTTGATTGAAGTAGAAATTACTACTTCAATCAAGAAACCTGCTCACTTACATGTGAGCAGGTCAACAAATGTCACCCTAGTGTTAACCTCCAGATAAAGGTTCTACACTGCAGATAAAGGTTACGACTCCAAACCAGACAGACCTTTAGAGGAACATTTGTTCCGTCTGGCCTAGGAACACTGTATGATCCCCACAATGTCCAGATCCTATTTGGACAAAACTTTGGTTTATTCACTGGGCAAACGGAAGCTGATATCAGAAGACTTCTGAGAAGTTGTTTTGTTTTTGAACTTACTGACCTGCTCTGTGCAAGGTCACAGATGCATGTGAAAAGACTGTCTTGAGCATGTTTGAGAGACGCATCTATTGATTTCTTTTCTCTTGGATTTGTCAAAAGACTCAACAGTCATTCTTTTCTTTGACCCTTAAATAAAACGATGACAGAATACATTCTATGTTATTCTTAATTTATTGTTAACTGGAACAGTGTTTCATTTCAAAATAAAATTAATTTATCTCCTTAACATTTTTTTACTTTCTTCAAATTCAAATGTTTTCATACCATTCCTGAGTATTTGGTAGCACTGTCTTTAAAACTGTATGACTTGGATGAACTGTTCTTTTACAAACTTTTCAAAATAGTTTGCTGGATTTTTGGACCGGTCATTCTGACAGAACTGTGGGTTTGTGGCCTTCACAAATGTTTTTAGCTCCGTCTCCAAATTTTCTATGAGCCTTGGACTTTGTGATACCCACATATCTTCTCCATCTCTGCAAAGGTCTGAAAATCAGCCAATGTTCGCTTTTGCTCTGCTGTGAGAACAAAAGGGGGCAGCAGAGAGCACCGACTTACAGGTACTTACATGTGAGCAGGTGTGACCTGCATGTGAGCAGTCAACAAATGTCACCCTAGTGTTATCAACTTTACATCTTTGCTATATTTAGTGGTTTTGTAGATAATAAAAAATAAATAAAGATTTAAAAAGTAATTAGATTAATAATAATGATAATAATAATAACTGTATCCACAAAAATCATAATCAGTAGATTAAGCTTTTTAAATATCAGTGATCTTCAGAACTGCAATTGGTGCACCGCTAGTAACTCTACCTAAATTGGCTGTATGTTTAAGGTCACTATCAATTTTAAGAACCATTTGTGCCTGAGCTTGAACTTCCTGGCTTAGGTCTTCAGATGCTGCTTTAGTATTTTCACAATGTTCTCCTGTTCTCTCTTTATGATGCCATCTATTTTGTGAAGTAAGCCAGCCTTCCTGCAGCAAAACACTCCTACAAAATGATGCTGCCAACCCACAAGATTGTCATTATGCCCTAACATTTTTTGTTACAAGTGACACCACTAAGGGCTTTGTCCCAGAACGTATTTCATAACTGTATTCTGCCTTTTTATGTTGCTTTTGGGTGAATGGCTTTTTCCTGAAGGAGTGGACGAAGCTGAAGTTGGTTTCCAATTCCAGCTTCCAATAGCTAAAGGGTGATTCCACTTAATGTTTCACTACTTTCCGCATCTTTAATCAACTCTAGTTTAAAAACTACTACACCTAGAGACTTAAAACCAGGACTAGATTATTCTGCTCCAATAGCAGAATACTTATAACCATGTTTGGGATTTGTGAAACTTTTATCTGATTTGTGAAAACTCAATAAAGTTAGATTTTCACCATTTTTGGCACCTCTTTCATTATTACAACTGCTCTAATTGAAAAACTGTAACTCCTAGACACTTCAAACCTATACCAGATTATTCTCCTCTTCAAGTTGGATATTTAAAACCATGTTTGGGATTTGTGAAACCTTTTTCTGATTTGTGAAAACTACAGCTTTACATCCTATCATATGATAGGATGTTTCCATGCAGTTAATGCTTGTATACAACACATACAAATCCAACAAGAATATATTCTTATTTATGGTACTTTTGATCTAAAAAGAATATTTTTGTATTATAGCTTACAAAAAACAAATCAGCTAAGAAGCTTATATATTATACTGATGCGTTTCAGTAAATCTGAAAGCACCGGTGTCTGAACTTGGTCGTACGTGCGCGCCTACCTTGTTGACGTGTGCGTGCTCGCGCAGAGCCAGATCCCAGAATCTGCAACCGACCTGGTTTCCACACTGCCCGACTTGAAGAGAACATTTCAGTTTAGCTAGCAGCCGTTTTTCCGAGATTAAGTATTAAATTGGCTACATATAAGAAATCATTTAAAGCAATTTCCCAGAAAACAAAACCAAACCACAGTTTTTCAGGAGTTCAACTTACCTTGGACAACAACTGACTGAGTCATGACAACAACGAACCGGAGACAGCAGCACCGGCTATACTGGTTAATGCTTCAGGGAATCGAGAAAGCAGCGGTGTACACAGGACTTTTGAAGGCTGTGTTAAGTCGCGCCTTCACTGTGTTTGGTCCGGTACTGATGACGTAATTGCAGTGCAGCCGTACGCAGAAAACGTAAGGCTTTAAGCCGATATCCCATTATATGAAATGGTTGACTTTGTTTTTGTTATTCACTTATAATTTACATAAATTGTAATCTTAAAGTTACAGGCATCTCATAGCAACGGTTCACGAAATTTACTTTCTAATCTATTAGCTTTTTCACAGCCCAAGTTACTTATTACACAAATCAAGTTGTTGACCGACAAACTATTTCTGTGTTTTTAAAAGAAGTTTAGACAATTTCTCCATCTCTGAAATCTGTCAAAAATTGGAAATAAACTGGACAATTTGTTGCTGGGCAGTATTTATTTAAAAGAGTCAGTCTTTTTCGTAACCCCCCGCCACCACAAAAAAAAAAACAACAACAACAAAAAACCCTGATGCATTTCTATATACATAAGAGGGCGCTGTTTCTGCTTCCCCAGCCTGCCTTGGAACCTCGTTTATCACAGAAATGCGTTCATTGGTAGAATCTATAACAATTAAAATGAAGCCTCGTCATTCTTTCACCCGTCTTCTTCTTTAGGAGTCACTACAGTGAATCATCTCCCTTAGAAATGTGTTGTTCGCTCCAAGCTGAGCTCTTTTATTCTTTCCCTATCACGTACTGCTCTATCCCTCATACCCTTCTCTCGTCTTCTCTTGCCTCTAATTTGTTGTCCAGAGTACATGACCCGGTTGTCCCTCTGATAAGTTCACTTCACACTTTTTATTGCCATCATAAATCATAGTAGATCACACTAACAACTTGTTCTTCTTCTCTGTCTTCTTCAGTTGTTCTTCCCTTCCTCCTGCTCTGGACTTTCCTCTCTGGTGCGCTGGTTGTTGCTTTGGATAGTTGATCCCAGGAAGTGATACGTCTGCAGAGCGTCTGTTCCTACCTATGTCCATGTCATTATACTTGTAAAAATGAACAAATGTGAGCAGTACTTTAATAGAAAATAACCAACCTTCTCATAATTATGTAAATAAACTAAAAAAAAAAAAGCTTTTAATTGGATGTAAAAAAAAAATTTATTATCAGATATAAACAGTACAAACAAAATCAAGATTTTAGATTGATCATGTTAATAAAAATGTGCCTAGAAAGAGATATTATGGACACTAAACCTTGCAATGATGCAATGTTTTATGTGTGTTTTCTGCACTGCTGAGTGTGAATAAAGGAAGTACATTCTAAATAAATTCCACAGGATATATTTTATCTTGAAACATTTTTACTCGTCAGATTTTAAACTTTGATCTGGAAGCTTTGGTCATTTTCTTGGTGGAAAACAAAAATGGTGACTTAGACAATGAAGCAAGAACTGGAGCGAATGAACATACTCTTAGTGGGTATTATTAAGACATTCTAAAATGAGTTTGGTCAGTGCTGTGACGGGGCTACTGATAAATATTATGCTCCAGGACAGCTTCCCACACTGATGGCTCCAATCACCAAAACCGTCTTGCTGAAGCTTGCTGGGCTCTTGTTGATGGTCAGGTTCTTCATGCAGCCCACGTAGGGCTTCCTGGTGGCAACACTGCCTGGGAGGAAGTCATCTGAGAAGAACAGGAAGTCGGTTAGGAAATGCGTGACTTTGCTCCAAGGAGCTGCTGGCATTACTTTCTCACCTGGAGCTCCACCGATAAATATCGGCTTCCTGGTGTCTGTGGAGCGGGGGTTCACGGGGCCCACAACGTGTTTGATCACAGAGTCCACATCCAGCTGGACAACGTTGGCATCCCGGATCACTGTGGGCAACAATGATCATTGGACTACATTTATATAGAGGTTGATTTATACAGAAAACACTGCAGAAGAAAAAAAAAAACACAAAGTAGGAGAAACAGAGTTCCACTGGAATGGAATGGAACAAATAGAACAACAACCTGACAGATTCGGTTTTAAAATGATCTTCTCATTTCAATTTCAGTTCAGTTTATTTATGTAGCGCCTATTAACACATGTGAAGTATTCAAGGTACTTTACAAAAAGAAAAAAAAAAGTTTCAGTTCAGTTATACAGACATTCCAACTGATCTTATTTTCTCAAACAATGCATCTTATTATTTCTTTAATATTAATGTTTAGCAATGACCCAGCCAGAGTCTGGATTCTGTCTGAGAAACTGTAGAGTGCTAAAATTAGCGCGATTGTGAAAGCTTACTATGCTTCTAAAGTATGTTTTTCTACTAATTATTGAGCAGGTTGTAAATATTATCTGACACTGTATTATTTAATAAAATGTGAAACACAAAATGCCAGGTATGTATATATAATTTTGGGTTTAACTGTAAGAACAATTACCAGTAAAAATCTGAAAAGTGTTGCATGCTTTTCTGTTCAGCCCTCTGAGTCTTTTGCCAGTTTTACAAGATGCAAATGTTACGTTATTGAGTTCTGTCAGATATGATGGAAACTGTCTGCAAATATAAAGTTTTAACTTTTGCCACTAAGTCTCAATTGAAAACAAGATACTTTTCTCGTGTTTAAAGTAAAATAATCTGCCAGTGAAACTACTACTTTTTCATCAATATTAAGGAATTACTGACTTAAAATAAACTCCAATATCTTGCTGAAAAGTTGTAAGTTAGTATTGACTTATTTTAATCGTACTAAGATATTTGTACTAGAAACTAGGCAAAATATTTGGTAGTATTTGGTGCTTTTGCAGTGAATGCAGTTGGTTGAACTGTATTTAGTTAAAGGGAACTGGAGTAAACAGAGTTGAATACAATTGTACATTTTGCTTCCTAAAAACATAAAATATGAAACCATGCATGATTCTTTATCCACCTCATTGGACAGTCAGTCAACAAAATACTTTTGAAGTTTATGCTTGCAGAGTAATAATTTGTGAAATTGCAAAGGGCCATGAATAGTACTGTTGCCCAGAACATCCATTTCCACCGTGCTTCTCTATTGTGTGATTCTGACCTGTTATTCTGTGCCAGGAGCCGTCACACACACCATGTCTCGGTGACACCTTCGTAGAGAACTCATGTTTTCCGTCATGAACAACAACAACCACCTGGGAGGAGAAAAAGGAAACATTTTGGCTGACTGGTCAGAAAGAGTCTGTCCTATTCTCATTATCACTGTTAAGACTCACCGCTCCTTGATGGATGTACATTATGAAATAACCCTCTGCCGAGCGCACATGCAGTAGCACCGCTGAGGCCACACGAGGGCGCACCTCCATTGTTAACTCGAACCTCAGTCCCAGTTCAAAGGATTCATCTGAAGGAAGGAAGAATCACATTCAGCATGTAGCAGATGTTTTGGATGTCTTGACCACACAGGCCCATAACTCTGGATGTGCAGCATGTATTATATCGGTCAAGCGGAGATGGAGATGTGATCCAAGCAACGTTTTCCCTGTCAGCACCCTCCATCTCTCTCTTCTACTGACACAGTTTGTCTGCAACTGCTAAAGATATGAGGTCATTTTACCTAGCTACACATTTTTCCATTGCACACAGGTTTGTGAGACACAGGGGAACTTATGACCTGATGAACTAGCAACTTAACAGATGGTCAGCTGAAATAATGTTCTGCATACTGGAAAATATATCAGGTGGTTAGACTGTGTTTAAAGCTGCAAGGAAACTTTTATAACAATATATATATATTTTTTATATATTTGTTAAAACTATCACTATGTTGTGAGACAGATAAATTGTGAAAAGAAATCAAGTTCCATTGCCTCAAGGTCCTCTGTGGTCCTACTGCATCTGCAGAAATACACAGCTCAGTCAGAAATAACCAATCAGAGCCAGGTGGAGAGTCTTAGCACTGTCAATCAACCTGATGTGAGTGCTGCTCAAGATTGCCAGTTTGCTACAGCTGTGCTAATGGTGGAGGAACAACTTAAATGTTTATCCATCATAATCGGTGGCCATGCTAACTAGCCTGAGCATTCACAGGAAACTAACTGTTGGAAACCAGCTGTAGCATAGCAGAGAGCAAGGGGGAGGGTGTGAGTAGCATGTACACAAGAGTGATTGACAGTGAAAAGACCCTCCTCCTGGCTCTGATTGGTTGTTTCTGACCAAGCGTTGTATTTCTGGAGAAAGCAGTAGAACCACATAGAGGAGTCAGAGAAGCTTGAATTTTTTTACATTCACACTATCAAGACAGTGATGGTTTTAACAAATATGTTAAAAAAAAAACCCAACAACATATTTTTAAGCGGTTTTAACTATAGCACTCGGACAACGCAACAATAGGCTGACAGGATGAGGGGAGGAGAGTGCAAGTAGTGGGCGGAGCTTTGGAAAAGGTTGGACTTCCAATGGGTTCCAACCAAGTTTTATCTGATGTAACTTCAGAGAGAGAGACAAAAAAAAGTTCTATGTGACATTTTATTTTCTGTATGTACAATTCTGGTTTCAACTGTATATGTAGGGAAACTGCATTTGTGGAACAACATACCCAAAACCACATATCCTCCCTCCTCTGAGAAGTACGTTCCATCCTCAGAGAGTCCTTCAAAGCATGGACCGACCCCGTAACTCTCAGTCATAGAGGACAACCTCCGTCCATCAAGCTGAAGGTTCTTCAAACAGCCAGTGAAGCTGTAAGCAGAGTTTCTCTGCAGGAAATACAAACACGTTTTAATTTCCAAATCAGAAGCACAAACTGCTAAGAAGTTCATGTTAAGCACACAACAAAAAAGGAATCTTCCAGTAAGATTTCTCTCATTTCTCCAGCTCCAGAAGATGTTCTGCTGATACTGATGTCCATAAAGTGGAGAGGACAGAAGGGGGTAGTGTATGATGTTTTTCTTTTACTATGCATCATCTCAATATGGCTGCAGAGAAACTGATCATTACCTGATTATGTTTAGCAAAAAGCTGAAAGTGATATTCCTAACTATTTATTTGCTAACGTAGGTGTACAACTATAGTTACTTTACAGTGGAAAATTATTCATAATTCATTAATATTTTCACAGTTTGTGATGTTTTACTTTCAAAATTTGATTTGTTTAAAAAGGATTTTATGCAAATAACTAGAGGCAGTGAATAGAAATAGGACAAGGATAATACATGATTAACTAACAAAATAAATCTGAAAAGTGCAGCATACATTTGTATTTCTCCCCCCTGAGAATGTACTTTATAGAACCAACTTTTTGATGCATTTCAGTGCACATATAGTAACAAATATGCAAATTCTTCATAAAATAGCTCAATCTCTGTCCGACTGGCTGGAGATTATCTCAACAGCAACTTTGAAGCCTTGTGACAGATTTCAATTGGGTTCAGGTATGGACTGGATGTTTCAGTAATGCCAACTTATTGGTGAAAAATTTTCCTATTTGCAAATATTTAAAAATATATTCAAAATAAAATGCTATTTGTGGAGCTGAAATATGTAGGTCCAATTTTACTGGACATGCTATTAGCTGACTTTTGCAAAACAGCCAATTCAGAAACACCATTTATTTTCCTTTGTGCTGACTGGCACTGTTGGGGGTCTTATCCCCCAACAGTAGTGATAAGACTGTAGATGTTAGCTTCTGCAGTAGCAATAAGACGGTTTCCACTGTGCTTATTAATGCACATTAAGTGATATTTGACATTTGAACTGTTGAAATAGGAAGTTAAAAGCATTTTGAGAGGGGTTCTCAAGTGTTACTTGCAGGCAGTTCTGATCCCCAATCCCACTGAATACCAGCGGTACACTGTAACTCATACCTGAATATTCCTTTGTGCTTTTCCTGGAGGAACTCCTCCGACAAAGAAAGAGTCGCTGACACGCCAGGGGACATTGTTTGCCTGAGCTCTGTCCTCAAACTCTGTCAGCCTGTCGATAGTTAGTCGCCCCATACTCCCATCACGGACACAAACAATCTGAAGCAAAAAGAACAGGTTATCAGTTTGAAACACAAGAGAACATATGTCATCAGCATACAAGAAAAACTCACACTGTGAACTTACACTGTGCCATGCACCATCATCATATTTCTCTTCACTCCTAATTTGAACTTTCTGGTCTCCCACACTGAAACTAAACACGAGTTTTCCATCGGCCACAAACAGAGCCATAAAGTTGTCCTCTTGGACATCTGATGCATAAAAGATGAGGCCGAAAGGTGACTCCAACTTCAGGAACAGAGACAAGTGGCACCTGGAAGACGAAACATGGATCAAGTTATGGATGTAGAAACAAAAGCATGCATGAACACAGCAAGCTTTGAGCAAACACCTGGCTCACTACGAGCAGGCTGTGGGCCTGACGCACCTTTCAGATAGAGAATCAGGGATTCCCTCGTAGTGCTGCCTGCTGTTGGCAATGCCGCCATAGTGGAAGGATTGGCGAGTTGATCTAGGTCTGGGGGAGAGATGGCAAAACTGGACGTTTGGCTCTGATGACTCCAGATTAGAACTGGGCAGTTCTGGAAGATGACTGGACTTATCTCTGGCAACCTGTGAAAAACATTGTTGGGTAAGAAATTATCCTTCTAGGGTTCACTATGGGCAGGAATAGATTCCCAATGATCTCAAGTAGGTATGTCTGCAGATTAAGTAATTGTTTCCAAACGATAAAGGAAGGACCACGTCTGATTGGATGAAATTAGCGTCTGTCGTTCGACCTTTTCTTTTTTCAAACACTGATACCTTACATCTCTGACAACAGTCTTTCATTTATTTATTTAGTTTCAAGAGCTTACTCTTGTTAGCCTGGGGTATCGGAAGACTTTTTAGTAGGGATACACAATATTATCTGCATGGTATCAGTACCAGCCGATATTAGAACGTCTGTTTACATTCCAAAATATGAGCATCAACATAGATTACACTGTTTTAATAACTGATAGTGATTTTTCAGAGATGTCTATGAAGAGGGAAGGCTAAATGTTGATACTTTGGTACAAAATCAGTTTTGGTTACTGAAGTAATGTTAAATTGACATAATTAGTTAAAACAAACCATTAAGAAATAAAACTAAAATTATAATTCAAAACATAATGTTTTAAACAGGCCCTGACACAAAGGGTTGAACGTATGATTTCTTATTTTCTTGTTCAACTTTTTGATCTGGTCACCACAGATGAGAGATTTCTGTCAGATTTCTGCTGGAACTAACCAATCATATTTTGCGCTGTAGAAATGCCTGTTTCAAGTCTGCAGAGAACCCGTTCTCAATGATTTAGGCCAGGGGCGACTGAGCAGAAGATGAGGAGCACACGTGACCTAACCGAGCCGCTGTGTTTGTTTTACCTTTTGAGACTGGCTCTGTTTAGCTTTAGAAGACCCCCTGTGGTGAGACATCAGTCCAGCGGGACGTCGCTGTATTGGACAGTTCTCCAGGGAAACATTCACCTTCTCGGTGTACTTCTGGAAGTCCTCACCCTCAATGTCTCGGTCTTGTCTACAGACACAGAGTGACAGGGACAGAATACAAATTGAATTAGAACACAGTAAAAACTCTTCATATGGTTCTTACTAAACAGAAGGAGGCCTGTGGAGCCAGATGGAAGCTGTGTTCACAGTGTGGTGGAGTCTTACCTGCTGATGTATGCATGGCTGATGCAACCAGTGAAGTTCTTTAAGATGCTTCTTGGAGAGCCTCCATAGTAAAATGTCTTTATAGGAGAATCAGAAGAGGACTTTGCAGCTGACTGCAATCGCTTTAACTCCTTTTTGTCTTTGTCGTCCACTAGCAGTAAATTCCTGAGGTGAAGCAGAATGAAGTAGTTAGAAACCTTTGCTGTAACACTGCAGTGTTTAACTTTTACAATTTTATTTTTGCATATTTGTTGAAATTGTCACTGTGGTGTGACAGTTTAATATGAGACAAATCTGTGGAAAAAATGGAGCTCCTCTGCCTTATCCCAGTGCTAACTAGAAACAACCAATCAGAGTTAGGAGGTGGGTTTTAGCACTGTCAATCACCCTCTGCTCGCCTCCCCCTCTTACTCCACCCCTTGCTCTCTGCTACCCTGCAAGTAGCATAGCCTGTTATAAATGCTCAGGCTAGTTACGGTGGCTACATATGACGCAGGATAAACAGTTTTCCTGTAGTAGTAAATTGTTTCTCCACCATTAGCACATTTAGCAGTGAGTACATGAGGACCACTTGACCATCTTGAAAAGTGATCACAATAGAAAAACATCAGAAAGCTTAAAGATATGTTTGATTTATGTTTTCAACATGAGGCAGCTTCCCTCTGGCTGTCTGCTTGAACAGAGCATTTCTCTGCAAATGCATTTAACAGTCGCGTAAAGCTGTTCTGTTTGGGTTCGTCATGGTAACCCAGTGGTCTTTCTTTCATCCCAGCTATTCTTACCCTAATAAATAAAAACATCATTTGAAACCTCCTACCTCTGCTTGTTCACTGAAGCCAGTAAGAAGTGTGTCCTTCCGTCGTTGTATTGCTTCTTCTGTGATTTGACCTTTGACCCTCTGTGGTTCAGTGTGACAGCTCCGTTCTCCAGCGCGATGCTGAACTCATCAGACTGAGGAGGAATGTCTTCCAGTTAGTCAGGCAAGTATTAAAGAACTTGTTTCTTTAATACTCATCAGATGTGATGCATTAAAAAAAATCACTCAACAACATTACTTTATAATATCTTGCAGTGGTTCAACAAGTTTTTCTGTCATGGACAACCTGCTCCCAGGATTACATGGGTGATAAAACTCAAATTGATCATTACTTTGGAAGGAAATGTCACTTTCACAGAATTTTAAGGGTGTCAGAAAATGAGACAAAAATGTGACATGGAAATGTAGAAGTTTGTGGAATGTGTGTGTGTGTGTGTGTGTGTAAGATGTTCTTACCCCTTGAGCATGGTAGAACAGTAGTCCACTGGGCTGCAGTGTTCTGAAGTTAAGCCCTCCTTCGAAGTTGTCGAAGGGTGAGATTTTTGCGGTGGACCCCAGGTAGCTGTGGCCACTGAACGAAGCTTCGCGGGACATCTGGCACAGAAACACACACTGCAGCTTCAGAAACCCTTCATTTCTCAGACCCTCGTACGGTCGACTTTGAAAAACACTGTCTTAGTCCCTGGCTTAAATGTGCTTTGGAGTACAGTGTAGGAGTGTGAGTTGATAAATTGGTCTCTTACAACCAACTCCTCTGGGCAGCCGCTGCTGATCCCAACAGTACCAGGCTCCTCCAGTAGGTTAAAGTCTTTTTTCTGGAACAGGAATCCTTTGACACAACCCTTCAGGCCAACTACAGAAGACAGCTCCAGCCTGTGTGGATACATCTTGTTAAATCATTTCCTTTGTGAAACTACAGGCCTTCAATTTCTAATCAACAGTGTTTCTTTGGTTGGAGGTCTACTTAGAGACTAACCTGGATTTGAGGATGCTGGAGGGAGCTCCACCGATGTAGATATCTGAGAAAGGCAGGGAGGTTTGGGGATTCTCTACAGTTTTAACAAGGGTCTTGTCCACCAGTAGAATAACTTTCTTTAACATATGGTAGATCACTGACACCTATTAAACAGAGACAGTTGTAACAATATTTTTGGATCACAGGAACATTTTTAAAACCAAAAAAAAAAAAGAAAAAATAAGAGGATGATCCACCTCGTGGTATTTTGCATCGTTTATTTGAAACTTAGGTGAGTTATTCTCCAGAAGTTTTGGTCCATTGCTGAAGTTAAAGTCGTATGTTAGGCGCAGGAAGCCATTCTTTATCTCTAAAAGGAAAAAATTTTTCTGGAAAGAAAGAAAGAGCATTTTTCAGGACTCAAATATTTTAAATCATGTTTAACTAATGGAAATTAACTTTTACAAAAAGCAGCAATACGGACGATTACAAGTCTGTCTTTCATTAACAAGACGTACCCCGTTGACCATGAGGAAGATGGTGCTGTTGTTTGTGATCGTTCGTACAGAAATATCAAATCTTATGACTTGACCAAACTTGGCTCTCCTCTCAATGTTACTGACAAGTGCGTAGCCCGTTCCATCAAACAGATAGCTGGCAATGCGACTCTGGGAGAACGCCAACTTGTACCTGACGACAGAGGAGAACCTGTGATCAGGACCTGAACATGATTTTACACCATATGAGTGGTTTTAGATTCTATACCCCTGGAAGCAAAAATACAACAAAAATACGATGTGGGAAAATTGCCATATACATATGATTTTAAAATGCTTTTAAAATGCATGAAGTTTAATCTATCTACTTTTCATCTATGAAAGCAATGTCTGTGTGACTAACCCAGAGTCACAGACTCCTAAATCTGTCCCTGCAGGAAGAGATAAAGCCCTGAAAACCTGTAGCTGTATTTGCAGAGAAAAGTGGTTCTATACTGAGCTGAATGCAAATGCACAACTAATTTTGGATGTTTATATGTCAAATATTTGGAAACCCATACATCCTATTCCTTCCATTTCACAGGTCCAAACTGCTTTGTGTTGGACTATCACTTAAAATCCACATGAAACACCTTGAATCAATGGCTGCAACATAAGGAGTGCACTGTAAGGAGTGTGAATCCTCTCTGGAGGAGCTGTAATGAGTACCTGGGGCAGGGAGGAGAAGCAGCTATATTTAAAAAGTGAGTCTCTTTGAAGTTGTACAGACTGATGACATCGTTGTTGAGAGAAGCCAACTCGATGCAGCCCACAAACGGGGCCAGGCTCAGAGGAGGAGGCAGCTAGTTTAGAGATAAAAAAAAAAAAAAAACATTTGTCAACATTCAGGAAAGGCTGGAATTACAGGAGGACTAGGATTAAACTCACTACCTCGATGTCTGGTGGAACACCTCCGATGAAGAACACCAGATTCTTGGGGTCGATATCGAACAGTGAGTCTACGATGGGAGCTTCGCCTTTCTGGATGAATTTCTGCTCATCTGTGGAGCCCTGACTGGGAATAGTCAGGAAGACTTTTCCATGCCTCCCCAACCTGCAAGAAGAAAATCATGAATAACCACACATCTGACATTCATAATTCATAAAAGTTGTCTGATGTGTTCTCTGGAACTGAAATGACTATGTTAGGTTTTACTGTAAACCATTTTTACTACAAACCACCAAAAGTTTTGCATGACTTGAACATGTGTAGCCCTTTAGTGCCAGTTCCCCAATTACAGCTGCAGTATGTAACTTTTATGAAAGATATGTGTTTTTGCAGATTTATTAAAACTGTCACTATGTTGTGACTGTAGGAAACAGATAAAAAGTCAAAAGATAAAAAAGATGAAAATTAAATATTCTCCTCCTTCTTGTATTACTATTGCTGTCTGAAGAAATACATAGCTTCAAAAGCAACCAATCAGAGCAAGGAGGAGGGTCTTAGTGCTGCCAATCAATCTCAGGTACTTGCTACTCATTGTGCTAATGACGGAGGAACAACTCAGTTACGGGGAATCTATTTATCTGCCATCATCAGTGCCAATGCTAACTAGCCTGAGCATTCACAACACACTCTCTTATCAGCACAGCAGAGAGAAAGGAGGCAATGGGAGGCAGAAACAAGCAATCCTTGTCACAACATGGTGACAGTTTCAGCAAATATTTAAAAAGTGTTTTTTTAATAAAAGTTACATACTGCAGCTTTAATGAAATAAAAAAAATAAGCTTTGCATTAAACTGATTGGATTTCTTCAACATGATTTTTGTGACAAATATAAATGCTAGCTGCCAGAGAATATTAATGATTGCCAACGATTCTGTAGTAAATGCTTTGCGTTTACTCTTAAAGATCCTTTACCTTTCTATTTTGATATAGTTGAAGACTGCTGGCCACTGACTGACAGGCTTGGAGGTCAGAGGGATTTCAACATCGTCTCTCCCGAGATTGTACACAAACACAAGTTTATCATTCTTGATGGCCAAACCCATGTAGTCCTTCCTGCCCTGAAAGCAGAAACAGAGTTTATGTTCCCACTGTGAGTTTTTACATGGCTTTACCGTCTTATAACAAGCTGGAAAAGATCGTTTTAATTCTGTATTTTACTCATTTTAAATATCTGACTCTCATGTGTGCATATTATTAAGGTTTATGTGTGGGCTATTATTCCAAATAAAACGAAATTGAACAGACAACTGCATGGAACACAACAGATTCCCAGAGAAACCACACTGACTGGCTGAGCGTTAAAGTCAGGAGAAGAACAGATGAACTCCAAGTTGAATGGACACAATTGCACTTTTGTCTCAGACATCTCCTGGAAACCCTCAGTCTGGGCCAACTGGCTTGCTTCAAAGCTTTTCACACTAACTGCCAAGATTACAACAAATGCTCCCCGTCTCTTCGCTCCTGTCTCTCTTTGCCATGACCACCGGCTCCAAGTCAGGGTAAACAGCTTTCTCTGACCCTAAAAAATGCAATCTGCCTGGATTCCTCACACTTCTGTCTCCCAAATACAGGATGAAGCGGTCCTCTATGGGGTCTTTGTCTGGGTCCACCCTCATGAACAGGCTGATGGATGTCACCGTCTTCAGCTCCTCAGGGTTGCTGGGCGGATGAACCTCAACTGAAGACCGTCCAGTAAATTTCATGGACACCTGAACCTGAAGCCAAATGAAACCATGTGTTAGAGCTTCTTGTAATATGAACACTTTGCACCCTAACCCACTAGAAGGAAACAAAGAAAAGAAGTATAAGTGGATAATTGTAGTCACAGGAGCCCTGAAGCTGAAGTTAAAGCTGAATTTCGTCCTCTGAGCCATTTTTCTAGACCTGAGCAAATGCATGTTTTCTAGAATTTAAGAGCAAGTGACAAAAACAAAACAAAACAAAAAATAAACATGTACATAAATACAGGAACTCTGCATCATAATTGCTTCCTGTGGTCAAGGTGGTGAGGAGGTGTTCTGCTGCTGCAGGAATTCAAACATTCATACTGTTGTAAGAACACATGAGAGCGTGCAGCACCGTCTCTATGAGCCACAATAACAGAAACACCTGCTTACTGAGCAGCAGTCATGGTGTTGCCAGGGCGACCAAGGGTGGCATATTCTTTGCTGTTTTGTTGTCATTTTGGTTAATGTGATATGAGATCATTTTTATGTGCCCAGCAGATATATCAATTTTCTGCAGCAGCTTTACATACAGGGATAATTGACCATTTGTGGTGAGCAAACAAAAATAACACTGTTTTGGTGTAAAAAGAAAAAAATTAAAATGAAAGAAACACTTCTCCAAACATTCTCTTACCCTTGCAGAATGAGTTTTACATCTTGGACTATTTTGAAACACATTTCTCTGTCCAAACTCATCAGCATTTTCAGACTTGTATTTATTCTGTTTGTCAGTGTTCATTTGTATTTGTCTTATGGTAAAAGAAAAATAGTTGGAAGACACTACTTTCAATAGTTGTTCTGAATAATTTAAAAGTTTTATACAATGTTTGTTCACAATCATCAAATCACACATATCACAAATGACTGAAAATACTGAAAATGTTATATGTCTGAACATAATAGACGAAGACAAACAGAGATGATTAAGCCCTGCTGGACTTTAACTGGAACTGAATGCTTTGGTCAGATCAGACTCTTCTCCAGGTTAAATTTGGCATAAACAAAGAATAGCATGTAGAAAGGCACCTAGTATCCACTGCCAGTAAATGTGGTCTTTATTTTTTATTTTTTCACTGAATATATGAATTTAAATTCAAGGTGGGATTTTCTAATATTATTTAGAGATTATTTCACTGCAGTGGAGTAATATGGCTCAGTAAACTGGATGGATGGAGGTTACCAAGTAGATCTGATGTTCTTCACTGTGACTGTGAAGTGGTTTGTAGTCAAACATAAACGTAACAAACTAACTTTCTTGGCCACACTTCTGGCTTGAGCGATGAGCTCTCTGATCCTCAGGATGTTGGTGGTCACGTTGTTCACAGGCTTCTTCTCTTCAACCACCTTCAGCTTGTCCAGCAGCTCAGGAACAAGCACACTCAGGTTTTCCACTGCAGGACAGATCCAGGAACATGAGCTGAAATTAGCTTATGATTTTTTTTTTTTTTTACTGTTCTCACAACTTTCACATAGAAACTGTTGTAAACAGAAACTTTTCACCTGCTTCCCCAGCAGATGCAACAGCATTTTCGTACGCAGAGGCAGAGTACTCGTTGTTTCTCATGTTGTGAGCCCACTGCTGCACTTTACTGTTGATGGGAGTGACGGTCTCAAGCACCTCTGTTGAGCGGTTCAGAGTCTCTTCTGCCACTTCCAAGGAAAAGTTCAAACGCTGCGGGGTTCTGTCTGAAAAACGGTCGCAGATTGACGAGAAACAGATAAACAGAGAACTGAACTCAGTCAGTGAATATTTCAGTTTGATGAATGAGGACTATTGGTGGTTAAAAAACCGATTCAGACATGCTTAATAAAGTATGACAATTTGAAATACAGAAAAGAGACAGTTCAGTTTTGTACATCGGATTCTGTTAAAAGGGCAGAATTATCTATTTTTGAGGCACACGGTGGCAATTTGTGGCACAGCATTACATAACTTCTGTTGTTATAATGATGTATTGCTACATCCACCACAACTGCATATGGCAGATATATATGTATATATATATATATATATATATATATATATATATATATATATATATATATATATATATATATCTCACTCACTATCCCTTTAAGAGGTCATGAACAATCAGTATCTATTTTGCGACTCCAGGCTCAGTTTCTAACCCCAAACACATGAACAAAGACACACAGACATATTCTTACCTGTCTGAATCACCTGGATGTCATTCGTTATCTCTTCTAGTTTTTTCTGATTTTTTTCCATGGTCCTCTGGGTCTCCTCGATGTATAGCACACTGTCAGCCACTTGTGTATCTACATCTGTGAAAGAGTAACGAGTTGAGCAGCAGAAGCACACTACACAGTACAGACAGTGAAGGTGCCCGACACTTGAACTTTTCCTACCATGCTGTTCTGATCTCAGTGTAACAGATTGCCGGAAGGCATTTTCACTCTCCGTCACCAGATGTCCAAGCTGGGTTTTAATCGCATCAATGGCCTAAAACACAAAAGAAAACTCTCACTAAAATCACACTGACTCACAAAGGTAGAACACTCTGGAAGGTGGACAGTGACGGGCAGCATACGTCTTCTGCTCTCTGAGATAAGTTGAGCGTAGTGAGGGAAGTGATGTTGGCATCGTCGATGTATTTCACTATGTTGTTGTAGACGTTGGCAGCACTTATTGCTCTCTGAACGAAACCATTGGCATCGCCTTCTTTCAGATCCCTGGAGAAGATAGATTTATAAATCATTTAAAGTTGATAGAAAAATAGAAAAAAACAATTCACTTAAGCACAGACAGGAAAAATTGGGCTGATGTTGATATCAATAGCTTCCCCGCTGCTTTGCTGTTTCAGTTAAACTTCCCACAATCCTGCACTGTGACTGTCACATGACCAAATACCACATGACCAACAGATGGAAATAAACATCAATTGTTAATATTGGTTCATTTTACTCAGGATAGTTGGGGAGCGGTGCATTTCTTTAGACGCCAATAATAGATCGAGTTTGATCTTTTCACAGATTATTTGTCTCATAACGAACTGTCATGACATAGTGATAGTTTTAACATATATGTAAAAACTTTTTTTAAATAAAAGTTACACACTGCACCTTTAATTTGCTATTATGTAACATAAAAACATCCAAATTGCAATAGAGCTGCATTGCTAAAAAACAAAAAAAAAGAAGAAAACAGAATGTTTTCATTATCACAAAAACATCTCCACAAGTTAGCTTTTTGGATTCATTGTCTGCAGGATGCCAAACTACTTCCTGTACTTCATGTTACTTCATGAAGTAACATGTACTTGATGTTACATGTTTCAGTAACATGCTATGTGTGTGTACAGAGGGAGTGTCTGGTTGCAGAGAGGTTTCTCACTCCTCCAGCTCATAGGCCAGCCTCTCTAGCTGCACAGCGTGGTCATCGGCCTTCTGGACCAGGTCTCTGTCCACCTTGGACAGACGCTCTGTCTTCTCAGTCAGCTCCTGGCTGGCACCGTCGATCTCGGCGTAGTACTCTGTCACATTCTGCAGATGTTAACACACAGCTCAAGCCAAACATTTACATATGCTGTATAGAAAGAAGCTTTTTTTTTTTTTCTGGAGTCTGACACCAAAGCAGACTCCAGCGTTCCTGTTTCAGGTCAATTAGGATCAATAAATTCCAGAATAATGAGAGAGAACTTTTTTTAACCTCAAGTTTTAACAGATAATTTTACAAAGAACCAAGGAAATGTATGTTAACTTCTGACTTTGAAAACAGCTTATGACTTGAGTCAGGTTCTTTCCAGTTTGTTGGAAATTTGGCCCATTCCTCCTGACAGAACTGGGTCAGATTCATACATCACTTGCTCAAACACACATTTTCAGATCTGCCCTCAAGCTTGTCAGTTGGACAGAAGTCATAGCTTTGTGATGGCCAGGTCAAAACATTAGCCACTTACTTACTTGAATCTATGCTGAAGGTCACTGAACATTAGGAGGAGCCAGTTGGGACCACTTTACACTGATTGGCTGATGTCTCAGATGCCTTAATATTTCCACAAAATATTATTTAATTATGGAGTGCTATTTTATGAAGCACTCCAGTCTTCACTTTCCTATGTATGAATGGATTGCACTTGATAACTAAACATAAAATCACAGTTCACTCTTTGCAGGTTAATATTGAGCAGACAATTGTGCAGTTGTAATTTTTAATAAAGCTGAAGTTTGAAGAATAACAGCACCAAAATGTGAACGAAGTGTTTGATTATCTCTATGTAGAGAAAGCTGTTTCATATTTAGCTGTCCACCATCTTACCTGTGCTATAGCGTCCACCTCAGCCACAGTCCTCTCAGCGTCAGAGATGAAGGTTCTGCTGGTCTCCAGTGTGCCATTGATGGCCAGCTGGTCCTCTGTCAGTCTCTGCTGTTTTGTCTGGAGACAGAAAAACAACACTGAGGTCATTTAGAATTATTATATGTTGATGCTGGGTGGGATTGTCCATTTTGTTAAATAAAAAAATTAATAAAATGACGTTTTTAAACCTCTGGGTATTATACCTGAATAGATTCCATAAACAGAGAAAAGACTGCTTAATATTATATGTCAAGAAATATTAAATGGTTTCTATTTAATAATGTGAATAGGGCTGCGTCTAAGGTCAGAGAGAGGCTTGGAGAAAAAGTCGGAGGTGAGGCAGAGATGGTTTAGACGTGCAGAGGAAGTAAGCTGGACATAGTGCTCACTTTGTACAGTTTTGTCCAGTTAAACTTATTGGTTGTTGTCTCCCTAATATTTCCATAAAATTGTCTTTCATTATGAGACCATTGTGAAAGAACATTATGTCACCATTATGGTATCGGACATTAAATGTGAAGATGCCAGATGGGATGAGGAAGATGACAGAATTCCTGGGGGTAGTGATGAAGAACATGAAGGAGTCTGGTGTGACAGAGGAAGATGTTTGGGACATGATTGGATGGAAACAGATGATCCACTGTGGGAGGCAGAAAGAAGAAGTTGGGGTTATGTCAGAAGCCTCAGAGCGATCTGTGGGGTTTATTGCACATTCAGTCTGATGTTTTTCAACTAAAAAAAAAAAGAAAGTAAAATCCCACCCCACATTCCAGACTTCCCGGTGGAATCCGGTTAGAAAGAGACAAAACGTGGAAAAACAAAAATCTCATTTCAAGACTTATTTAATAAAAGAGTAAAATTCAACAGGTATTATTTCCAGTTTTCCATTTACTATCAAAGGAAATTCTCTCCTTTGTTTCTGCCTTGGATGTGGTTCCTGTGCAGTAATTCTCCCTCGGCCTCCTGAGCTGCAGATGTTCAGAGGTACAGCATGCACCCTGTGAAGCATCCATGCAGGCTTTTAATTTGAAATGTGGTTAACTGGAATGTTTTAAAGCCAGAAACAAGAACTAGCTGTAGATGTAGAGAGATTTTACCCTCCTGATGTTTGGTTGTTGCAGTAATCCAGGAGTCCAATGAATCTATTTTCCTTTATCTTGATTTAGTCTTTTGTTTTAAACAAAAATAATAAGGGAAAAAAATGAAATGAAGATATCCCTATTTGTGACTTGGAGGACTCCAAACCATTAACTGGTACTGTTTTATTAGCGATTGCCCCCCACAAAGAAGAAATATGTCTGTCAAAATAAGTTACAGTACTGTGGGAATCTAAAGTTATTCTCATGTGGAGATGATATCATGAGAGCAAGCGCTGCCTCTCCCCCTTTTAATGTAATGCTCCCAAACTCCCACAGATGGTTTCGCGTTTCTGTTCTCACCGCTTAAAAACATGAGGACCAGACCGCCCAGACATGCGTGACTGAGTCCAAAATCAAGATAAGAATCAGCAGACGCCACCTGGAGCAGCTTCACGTTGGAACCTTTTCTAACGGCGGGGTTTTGGGGAATTGATTCCACCAGTGCATTCTGATCAAAAAGTAACAACAAAGTGTGATTCCAAGAGCACAAGGTTGGGGAAATCACCTCTTTCCTCTGGAATTTGAGGAGGTTGGCTCTGTTCTTGTCCTCTGCTTCCTGCACGGTGTCGGCTGCGCTCAGCAGAAAGTCCCGGGCCTCAGAGAGTCTGGAGGAGAAACGGGACAGGATCTCCTGGACGGACGGGACTCGGCCCTGTGAGATCATCAGCTTCTTCTCCAACTGACGGACGCGCGTCAGCACTGGAAACAAGAATCAAATGTTGATTCGTTACGACTAGAGGTGCTAATGACCTCGTAGTTTTGAATTTCACAGGCACTGTGTGCTTTCATAGCAAGCTGTTGAGACCGGGGAGCCAAAGGGGCGTGGCTTAGACCATACAGCGTTCACCTGAGCAACGGGAAATGTGATGGCTTTCCTGAGGGGAAAGTATGATTTAGGTGTTACTACTTACATCAACCAGCGTTGATAGACAACCTTCATCTGAGCAATGTTCATCAAGCGTAATTTATCAATTAATAAATAAATGTAAATACATTAACCAGTATTTTACACTGTTAGTTGCTACTGCACAGTTAGAACAGTTTCCTTGTGAAAATAAAAATATTAGCATTTATTTTTAAGCTACATTCACACAGCAGGTTTTGATGCTTAATTCAGATTTTTAGCTGAAATCAGATTTTTTTGTGTGTTGTCGTTGATACTACTAATTTCTCAATCAGACTGCTGTGAGAACAGTTTACAACCCCAAAGTAACTTGCATGAACAGAGGAACAATGTAGACGTCACACAGCATTATTACTTCTGATTACATTAGTAATAATAGGTATAGCGGGAAAGGGTCAGTTTTAAAGTTATTCCATTAGGGGAGTCGACAGTACTGTTACAAGATCATAACACAAAGGAAGCTACTGAAAAGAAAGCACAACTAATAGCAATGCTAGTTTATGGAGCATTGACTGCAGCTCCTCTAGAGAGTTCAGTTTGGACACGTAGTCGGAACCAGGACTGGTGGGATGTGATGTGATGAGCTTCATGTCGAACCTCTGCTGATACAGAATTATGATCCATGTACCACATCCACAATGTAGATATTAGATAAAATGCTACATGACCATTCTAACTACAGACTTTGAAAACAATTATTACCACATATGGCATTGGGACAGATCAGAAATTTCTTTTGGCCTGAGCAGTTTTTCTTACACCTTAATCTTTGATATAATAGTGATATAAATGACAGAAAAAAAAAATACGAGACTCATATATTCATATTTTAAAGTCTCAGTATGAGTTTCTCTGCCCTCTGTTTGACTGTGAAGAACAGGATCTGGTTTAATAAATGAACCAATGCTGAGCAGAACCAATCACAGCTCGGCTTAAGGAAGTCATCACTGTATATGTGCAGAATCCTGCTTTGCAATGAATAAATAGTTTTTCTCACAGTCGTGAGCTTTGGTTGTTTCGTCCGTGGCGATGGGTTCCCGTGGTGACCAGTCGAGCTGTCTCATCCATGACACCATTTCCTGTGCGACCTCTGTGTTATGCCCGACGGTCTCTGGATCCATCTCCTGCTGGACGTTGTACAGTTCCCAGTCGTGGATCATATCTGTGGACACACACACATGGGCTCCAATGAGAACTCTATGGGCCTTGGTCTAATCAAGTTAACAGACATCCAAGCACCTGCAAAGGAAGTTATTAGAAACCTTTATTTCAATATTTGTCTGTACAGCTGGTGTTTGATTTTGAACTTCATGATTTACAGAAAATCCCCCAAAATTCAAACTTGTACAAACAGTTTAAATCAGAACAATGATGGATGTTAACCTTTGGCTAGAGCAACATCAAATTCAACAACACACAAAAAAACAGGATTTATTTCTTCTCAGTTGGTTGGGAGACTGTTGTTTAGTCTGCTTTGACACATTCATAGGTGGTGATATCTTCAACTTGTCCTTTTTCATTTCAAATCATTGTTTATCACCTGTAAGTTCAGTTTTTATGAAAGCTCCACTAATTAAAAATGTTTCTCATCCACCAAAACTGCCAGAATATATCTGGAGACTGAACAGCCCATGTTGGTACCTTCGATGCGTTTGTTGAGATCTGTGAGGTTGGTGCTGAGCTGCTCAGCCACAGCCAACATGCCCACCGTCTCGGTTTCCAACTGAACCCCCCGTTTGTTCATCTGGTCCTCCTGAACACAAACACACAGCAGATTATACAGGAGCCCATTAGGTCAATTCATGTCCTGTCAGGGCTAAAGAAACTGGATTTGAGTTGTCTTTTTTTTTTTTTTTTTAATATTTACAATATTTGGACAGCGCCATCTACTAATTATCAAACAGCTCTTCTTCTGCACTGACCCACAGATGCCGTCATATTGCTTTTTGTTTTTGACCTGCAGTAAGCAGTTTGTTCTTTGAGTCTTCTTAAAAAGTTTACATTTTCCAAAGCACCTTACAGGTTATAGAATACAATTGAAAATTAAACCTAATAACTTTTATTAACGAATTTTATTAACGAATAAATCTTGTATCTAACAATGGAATTTGAAATATAATTCATTTAACTGAATAATAACACACATGGTAAGAGATTTGAGCTGGAATAGGATTCATTAATTTTTAAAGGGGAAAAGAACAATATGACTCATAATAAACAGCTGTGTCCTTTTCTTTAATCCAACAGAAGACTTTACTGACCGACTCTCCGAGTGAGTTGATGTCCACCACCACAGCGTCTGCAGCCTCTTCTAGCTCACCAGTCCTTCCTCTCATTACAGACAAATTATTCCTCCAGCCTTCAAACTGCCTCTGAAAGGAAAGCAGTGAAGCTTCTTTACTCCAAAACATTCCAGAAAGTCAAAAATGGGGAAAAGTCATTGTACTGTGAAAAAGGTTTGAAATGATGTTAAGACATAATTTGTTTGACTGCCATCCCCAAAAGTGGGAGTAGAAACTCTCCTTCTTTGGCAAATAGTCTTTGCAATAATTTACATTATTTATGTCTAAAAGTTCACAGATTGCTATAATCTTTTCAAATAAACTTAATATCTTTGGCATTTTGATCCTACATGTCAACAAATTTGAGTAATTTGATGAGAATATGGGGACAGAAATACAAACAGAAGTCTTGATCTCATTGTGCCAATATTGATCCCAATATCAATACTCACCTTATTATAGTTAGTATTGATATTTAGATCAGTATTTATATTGACAGCACTAAGTCATGCTGTCTCCTGGCTGTGACTGGCTGTTTCTAGTTAGCGCTGAGACAAGGCAGAGAACTTGATTTTTTCACAGAATACCTGTTTGATCCAACACTGTGTGATTTTACATAAATATGAAAAACAAAAAAAAATTAAATGTTGCATCTTTAAGGCATTTAGTGAAAACAGCTGCAAAGTGATGTTAAAATACAATCTCACTGTTGTTGCCATGAGACAAAAATAAAAAGACGACTGCATATTGCTGGTTCACCTGCAGGAGGTGAGCGGTGTAGTTGTAGTACTTGAGCCTGTCGTTGGCAGCAGCCCCCGTGGAGATGTTCAGCACTCCGACCTTCAGCTGGTCCAGCGTCTTATTGGACGACGTTAGGTCTTTGATGAGCTGCCAGATGCAATCATCACAGTCTGGAAGCAGAGAAATATCCACAGAGACGTTGAAGCAGTTCTCCTCCTGTCTGCTGGGTGGTGAACTGATGCTCAGCTCCACTCACCGTTGTAGCAGAGGTTGACCGTGGCCTCCGACAGGCATTCTCCTGTGTGCATGTTGCAGTGGCCGCTCTCACAGTCACACTCTGCAGACAAACACACGTCCAGTCAGGATCTGATGAAACACTTCAGAGCTCTTATTGTATTTGCTGTACTGTAGGTGGGTGATATCACCAAAACAGGATATCACAGTATATTTTTCAAATACCCTGATAAAGATATCACAGTCAATACTCCACATTTGATGCTTTTTTAAAATTGAATTTGGCTGAATATGTAATTTCAAACTTAAAGAAAGATTTTATTTTATAAACAGTCACCAGAATAGAAAATGTATTCATATAAATGTATACAAATCACACAATACATGTTTCCATGTATCAAAGAAAACATAAAATAGGTAAGTAAATATAAATGTAAACTAATTTTGGCCATCAAAAAACATTCTGAAATCCTCCATCAAGTTTAAATAAAAATACTTAAATACACAAATGAAATAAACCGCAGTGCTTCAGAACATCAGTTTTACAAATGTTTTTTTTAAGAACTCAAACATTATGTGCAAGATTAAAAATCTTGTTTTAATATAAAAGGAAAACTTCCTTTTAGAAACATTCAACACACCAAAATATATGTCACATAAAAACCCCACAAAAACTAAAAGCCTGCACACTTTGTATTGATCAGGATCTTTGTTCATTTTCATTTTTTCCATGTGTGACGGACATCTCCACTGAAACAATGATGGTCTGTCGGTGTTCTGGTTTTTAGCTTTCATTTTCCTGCAACTGCACCAGCAGCTAAAGTGCTAAAGCATTGCAGAAACTCTTAGACATCAGTCCCTTATCAACAAATTCTGTGGAAGTTAGTCCAGACTGCGGACCGGCTGGCCAGCTTCTTCTTTGCTTTAATGGTTGATGGCAAACAACTATAGGTAGCATTGCTGTAGTTGGAGTGTAAGGAGTGTGGACCACAAAGCGCCTCGCGCTGCACAGGTTCAGTTAACTAGTGTCATCATTTGATTTCACATTATTTATTTTTATACCAGTATCAAGAAAGCCACCCGTATTACCATAAACAAGACGATATGGCATACACTTATGCTGTTCATATAAATATCAGGAGCTGCAGAGGGTGGTTTGGCAGGAGGCCTGAACATCTGCCTTGTGGTCTCCCTGCTGAGGGATTAATGACTTTAGCAGCTGCACAATGTATACACATTTAAGCTGCATGGTGATGTCATCCGGCTCTCTGCAGAGAGTCTTCAGGCTAAGGGTCACAGCTCTTAATGCATTCTCCTCTGATAACACCAGCGCTGCTGCAATCGTGGGTGTGGGAATGGAAGGCTGAGTTCTTCCTGTTTCAACAGGAATGCACACTCCATTCTTCAACAAGCTCTCTAATTCTCTGCCTTCTAATTTGCAGACAGAGAAGGAACATTTGGTCTCCTGACTTACTCTGGCAGCCGGACGGACTGTAATCCCAGTATCCTGTGAGGCAGCGCTCGCAGTAGCGGCCTCCGGCCCCTGGGCGGCAGGGACAGCTGTGGGTGAGCGGGTGGCACGTTGTGCGAAGGGAAGCTGGCCCACATTCACACCTCCTGCAGCCCTGACAGCTGGAGAAGCCAAAGTAACCCTCCTGGAATAAGAAAGCCCCCAAAAACAAACAAGTCAAGTTATATTGAATCTGGGAACTGTGGGATTATTTTCCTTTTCTGTTCATGCAATGACTGAACAAATGCTACAGCTCATTATTTGATAGGAAATGCAGTTTTAGCTGCCATGTACACTTCTTTTGCCTCCATGTTTTTATTAATTTGCCAGAGCTACCTTTACTGTCACTGGAGTATTATATGATGGTCCAGTTGGGATGGAGGTGTGGAGCTGAGTTATTAATTATTTTGATAGCAGTCGATGTAAAATGAATTGTATCAAATATCTATGTAATACATATTTGTAGCTATAAATTATTGTTACATACTGTTATAAAAGGGGTAGTTCTTGGGTGTGAAATTTTTGACAAGGTGGTGTATGATACAATCAGCAGGTCTTTTCATTTAGTTGTTGATCATCTTGTGGAAAATAATTCATACGCATATTGACTGTGTTGATGATTTTCCATTGATACTATGGTAAACTGATTTATTCCAGATGAGGATCAGAAAGCATATTCTGAACCTCAGGCTGAGATTCAGATTGATAAATCAGAGTTCAAGTATTTAAGATTTGTTGCTCAATTTTATTTTTTACATATGTTATTATTACAATATTACTGAGATCAAAATGAAGTTCAGATAGTGTAGAAATTTTAATTTTATTACAGCATGAATATGTTAGTCAAGATATTTAATGACGGCCAAGGAGAAACATTGATTTAGTGATTAATGTGTTAGAAAACTTTCATTCTGTCCTTCAACATTTTCATGAAATACAACAATTTTTTTCTTCAAGCCACTGATTCACAGCATTAGTGAGCAGAATCCTGCAGTTGGTCTCACCTCACACTGGTCACAGAGGCGACCTTTGACTCCGGGCTTGCAGTGACACACTCCTGTCCTGTCGTCACATGACGAGGTGCCGCATTTGTCACACTCGCACTCTGGGACAGACAAGGACACACACACACACACATACCAATGAGAACCTGCGACTTCGTAGCACACAGCGTGCAAGGTGGAAGGGGTTGGTTCTAGAATTAGCTGTACAGTAATCCGTCAACCAGAGCGGTGGCCTCGACTTGTTTTTCCACAGAGCAGCTTTCCTTCTGTGGGACACGCAGTCGTACACACCTGTTAATCTGAAGTAGTCAGGACTTAAAGGTTATTGTGGCACTAGAGGTCTTTATTTATTGGTAGCTGGACAGGAAGAGAAGTGAGCTGGGAGTCGCAGCAGAGACAGCCGCGCTTAGGACTGCAGCCTCTGCATATGATGCGTCTGGGACATCACAACGCCGCCACTAAAGAAAGGTCCAACTGCTGTCACAGAAACAGACCACAGCTAATGACAGCTGTGTCCACAAGCTTCCCTCCTGTCCCGATCCTGCAGACAGCTGACTCACTGACATTACCCCATGACTTCTTCAAAGATTAAAGATACACCTATACAATGTATTCATAGATTACTTTATCCTTTTATTGCTTCTGCAAATCAATCATGATCCACAAAATCAGGCATTTTTAACCAATAAAAACATACAATAAAAAACCTTTAATGTGAAAGTGAAATTGACTGCTACAAAATAAAGACAATTAAAGGGGCAGCATTGTGTACTTTCTAGACACATGGTGCCATTTTATAGCATAATCGAGTAACTATGTTACCTTCAGTTGTTATGAAAATGATGTAAATATTAAATATGACTTAAAAGAAATTTGACTTTTTAATTTAATTATTTAAAATTGGGGAAATTCTGTCTTTAAGAAACTCCTGCACTTTCTGAAAATCCGCTTTCAGGAAGTCATCACAACATATCTCCTCTATTAAACCTTTAACAACGTTTTACAGTGTTGCATTAAGAAGTAACTCCTATAATGAGGCCAGAAGATGTGCATTTCAACCAGGTGTTTGCTAACTGCTGCTGGCTAGTCTGAAGGAGCAGGTGGAGGGTTGTTTTGTGAGGCAGAACCTCAGAAGCTTGAATACTGCAGCTCCGTGAAGGAGCTTCATCCTAGAAGGCGGAGCTAGGTCCAACTAGGCGTTTTGCACAGCTGAATGGTTGCCATGGAGATTAAAGGATTTCTCAAACATGCATGAAAGAATCAAGGCAAAACCCCAGGTATGACTTAGATGATGAAAAAGCATATTAAGATGATGTAAAGTTCATTGTAATACTGCATAATACTGACAGTTTAAGTTAAAAATATGAAACATAAAATAAGTGACTGCATAAATATTCAGGTGATTTTCATTCCACCTCTGAACCTTTGCAGAATTAGCTTAGTTACTTTAAAGCAGGTGAATCTTTAAGCTATCACTTATTTTATGTTAAATGTTTTTATTTAACTGTCATTATATCATAGAAATCAGTTTTCACTATTGAAGCATTTTTTTTGTAAATGTTTTTGGTCAGAAAGATCAAATTTTGTAGATAATGGTAGATTAAAGCGGTGAATGTTTTTAATAAGCACAGTATTTTCTTGCGATATTCCTGCCCCCCAAACCATCCTCCCTACCTCTGCAGTTCTTGGCACTGATGGCATCGCCATAGAAACCGGGGGCACAGCGCTCGCAGCTGGCGCCAGCTGTGTTTCCCCAGCAGTGCTGGCAGCGGCCCGTCACATTGTGGCACTCATTGAAGATCAGGTTAGGGTCTGTGTTGCCGTTGCAGTCGCACCTCTTACAAGATGAACCAATCAGCATTGGGTTGCCATAGTAACCTGGGGCACACCTGTGGTGTGGTGTGCACAGTTATAGAATGCAAGGTTACAATGAACACTTTTGACAGGAAAGTGATGCAGTTAATGTTGAACACTACATATGACTGATTTTAAAAATAAATCACTTTAATCACAGAGCTGAGAAACAATGTAGACAAAGAGAGTCTGATCAGCTCTGACCTCTCACAGTGATTTCCAGCGTAGCCCTCTTTGCACTTGCACTGCAGAGTGCTAATCCCTTTTTTGCAGTACACAGCGAAGCTGCCCGAAAACACACACACACACACACACACACACACACACACACACACACACACACACACACAAGAAAGTATGTCAGAGAATAGACATCACTTACAATACTCAACCTTGACAGAAAGACACAAAATATTACCAATTTTTTGTCTAGTTTCTTGTGCAAATGTCTTAGTTCACTTGAAAAAGACAAAACAAGATATAGGAACTTATTTTATGTCAGTAATTCCTTAGTATAAATAAGAAAGTACTAGTTCAGTTTAAAGGTGTGATTGCAGTTTTCTGGCCGATCTTTTAAAAAGCTTAACCTGCCCATTCCAATTTTGGCCAATACCATTTTTCTTTGTCTGAAATGTTGCTCAATATAGCAAGAAAGTTCCTGAGTTGGCAACACTGGGGTCACTATTGTTAATTATAAACATGCAGACACAACTTGGTGGGCAGGTCTGTCAGTCAAACCTTTCTCACCTGAGAGCAAAAGAGGACAGTGGTTGATTCTTAGACCTTTGCCGAGCTGTATAAGATCACTGGATAAGATTGGCTTCATACATGAAAATCGACCAATCACCGATCTCCCAAAATTAAGGAAATCGTTACCAATTAATTGATGAACCCCTAGTTCAGTTATAACATGGGCCAAATGTCTTGTTACAAATGAAATAATCTGCCAGTGGAACTATTACTTATCAATTTTTAAGAATTAACTTAAAACATGCTCTTATATCTTGCTAAAAAGTTACTTGTAAGTTAGTTTTGTCTTATGTAAAATGTCCTAAGGTATTTGAACTGGAAATTAGACAAAAAAAAAAAAAAAAAAAAAAAAAAAAAAAAAAAAAATTTGATGAGATTTTGTGTTTTTGCAGTGTTGAGACCGTCTCAGGAAGAGCAAAGCAGCTTACTTATTGGAGGGGGCAGAGAGGGGGCAGGAGCAGGGGACGCAGGCATGGAGCCTGTCCTGTCTGGAGCTCAGGATATAGCCGTCTTCACACATTTCACAAAAATCCCCTGTGCTGTGATCCTTACAGTTCTGGAGGTGGCAGACGGGGGTCATTTATTACACTTGGCACCAAGGTGATTACCCAGGATGGTCTAAACGTGATACTTACAATACAGATGCCAGTGATGTCTTCACAGTAGTCGGCGTGGCCCTTGCAGTTGCATGGCAGACAGGTGTTTTGTTGACTGACAAAGGAACCTCTTGGACACTGAAAAAAAAATAAATTTACCCACTCAATCAACATTGCTCATGGTTTTATTATCTGGTTCTTGTATTTGCAGAAGACAAAATGAATATGGAACATTTACCTGACATGGGGAGAAATTATGTACTTTTTTTTATGATTCTTTATTAAATAACTCAAGACTGTGTGGCGGGCTCTCTGTGACCGTTTTGAGAATGCAGGGAGGGAGGGATTCCTTCTAAGCACGGATTAATACACAATTTAATACATGTGAGAAAGACACTTTCATGTCTCCATTTGTCATTCTGCCTTCCAAAGCAGACTGGATCATGAGGACCCTTTGAGTACAAATAAATTACAGCAGAAATAGTTTTGTATCAAAAATTGATATATGATCGAATCAAAATCAAAAGAATCAGAATCAAATTGTGAGATAGTAACAGATTCCCACCCTTAATATTCTTTCCTCATAGTGACTGCCTATTTTCTTCCAATAACCATCCCCCAACATGATGCTACCATGTCGTCCTTTATGACTGGGATGGTGTTGTTGTTTACGTTTTAATGATGGTTTTTAAATCTCTTTCTCAAATGCTGTTTTTATTGTAATTATGTAAAGCACTTTGAAATGCCTTGCTGCTGAAATGTGCTATACAAATAAAATTTGATTGATTGATTGATTGATTGATTGATTGTTGTCAAGCTGAGTTTCCCCCCCCCCCCCTTTTTTTTCCCTGAAAAAACTACACGTAGAGTACAAAATTTTAATTGTTTTTTTTTTCAGTCT